TATCTTAATTAAGGGGTTTTGCAACTTATTTATTAATGTTATAAAACTTTTCCAACGATTTGTAATAAAGTATCATTTTAATCGGGGTTAATAATATTAACACGTCACTTGAATATTTATAATTTTTGTTGATCAAAGTAGGAGGTTGGCAAAATTATAAATTACTAACAAATAAGATCTTAATTTTTTATTTAATTTTTTGTTTTTTTGCAAGAGAATTTTTCAAAAATTCAAAAAACCGAACCAGTTCTTTTTGGAACCGAACCCGATTTAATTTTGAACCGAACCGAACCGATGTATTTATGGGTTTATATAAAATATTATATAATGTGAATGTTTTATTTATAAAAGGGTCGCAAATTACTAATTTTTAAAATTTGAGTATTTCTAATTCAACAAATATTGGATTATAAAAATTAATTATTTGTAAGAAATATAAAAATGTTTTGGATACGGTAAATTTAATTAATAAAACACTATATACATTACTAATCCTATTTTATTTATTCCGACAAATATGTAACGCCATCTAGATTTAAATATAATATTTGCATTTTAAATATAAATAAAATTTTATAATAATGAATATAAAAAAGATAAAAAAAACATACGAATTACTTAGATAATGAAAAAAAAAATGTTTGTCTATATATTAGATGTAAAAATTTAAAACAAATAACAATTTTTGTTATTTTTACTGTTTTTTTTAAATAATTACCTTTAATAAATAATTTCCATTAATCACTTATTTTGCCTAAACATTAAAAATTGTTTTATAAAATTCCTGATCATATTTTATACGATTTTAATTAACCCCATATCTGCTCATAGAATAAGTGTAACATTGGTAAAGATAGGTAAACAAAATAAAAAGGTAAAACTAACTTTATGCTTTCTATTTAGTTAATTTTTTTTCTTTCTGAATTTTGTTTAAAAACATGAGATAAGTAGAAGTAAGAATCATAAAACAGTTTTTTTTGTTTTGTAATCTATTTTTTTGTTGCTATTTACTACTATAATCTACCAATATTTTGCTGCAAATTTTTCATTATGACAATCGTTTTAAAAAATTTACCAATATTTTTATAAAAATTATTTATCTTAACTCACATAATTTTGTTGATAAATTTTTTTTTATTAAACATAATACCAAAAAAAACTATTATTATATTATGATAAATTTATAAAAATAAAAATGTAAAAAATGGTCATTTTATAAAAACTAAAGTTAGACCTGACTACAACTTCAAGTAGCCAAAAATCAACCATAATTATATTAAAAAATAATAGTTCTGATCTAATGGCTCTGAATTTGACGCCTTTATTTTAAAAAAAACTTAAAATTAGATGACAATTGTAAAAATATTATCAGCTAATTTTTAATTATTTTCTTTGTGAAAATTAGTTTAAAAAATTAAATTTTTTATCTTTTTTAGGAAAATTAGTTTAAAAAATTAAATTTTTTATCTTTTTTAGGGAAATTAGTTTAAAAAATTTAATATTTAAAAATTTCTTTAAAATAATATTCAATATTTTTTTATCTTTTTTTTTCTCGCTTTTTACGTTTGGGGAAAAAAATAAATAGATAGAAGTAAAACTTGTTAAATTTGCTACTCGTTAGGACCAAAATTTTTGATCAAATAGAACCTGTTGACAAAAAATGTTAATCTCTTTTTTTTAAGAAATAGAGAATCATTGTATCATAATATCATAATTTGTTTTTTTTAATAGATAAATTGTAATATCTTTATTTATATTAAAAAAAATAATTTTCTCCCCATATTAAAATGCCCAATTTTAACCGATATACCAGTGGCTGATAAATTTCAACCAAAATCAATGATGAAATATCTAAAGATAGTATTTAATCCTCATTAATTGGGGGTAAAAAAATAATTTATATATCCCTCATAATTGTAAAAAAGTAATGTAAACTCAGACATAAAACACAGAAATTATTTCGATAATCTCGAATAAATTGAATTTGAACAATTACTCCATTAAGTTGCTACGCCTATCTTTATTCAATGGGGAAAAGCTAGTTGTTCTTATTATTTCAGGATTAAACAGTATAATTAAAATTTCACTCGTGCTTCCTAGTAGACATATTGCCCTCATAAAATTTAATTTTAACTTGAACTTTTAGGTGATACCTCGAATCGATCGGGATTATAAACCATTTTTTAAAATTAATTTGATTAAAAAATTGTTGAAATATTAATTTTCCTACAATAAGTTGTGTTAATAAGACCCTTGGAAAACGCCTTAGACTTACTTACCCAATTCGGAAAAATGTTTCTGACTACCTAGCCCACGAAGCTTGCATCTACCTATAGGCATGAGATAAGCTCATCTAATTATAAGTATATTTACATTTTATTAGATAAGTTGAACTTCAAAAATGAATGTGCATTTTTTTGCAAACTATAAATTTAATTTTAAAATCTCACAGATTGGTTTATTGAACGGAATTGAAAACTATTTGCGAATATATTTTAATTATACTAAACATAAAACCTAAAAATTAAAAAATAATTGATACAAATAGTTCATTTTTACCAATTATTTAATAAGTATCCAATAATTTTCAAGCAAGATGTATTGAGCGAACAAATATGTCAGTGGCAATCAGAAAAAAAGCTCATTGTAATTAAAACCTAATTATGAAATTTAAAAATATAATATTGTATTAATAATTTAAGGATTAATATTTTTAAACACAAAATTTACGATATCCTTTCATTAATACGTAACTATAAGTGTTGCTGAATTTAAGTTCATAAACAGAGATATTCGCATTAGAGAATAACCCCCTTGAATTCATTAATTTATTTAATGCGATTGCCGAAAAATTTTTTATAAAAGATATCATAACAATTATAAAAATTTATGATTATTTTGTTTATTAGCAAAGAGATATTTTATTATAGTAATGGTTTTTATACTGCCACTTAATTATATAATAAATATTTTCAAGAATTTTTTAAAAATATTATTTAATGTTGAAATCATCCATAACGTTTGAAAAAGTTTATGATTTTAAAAAAAGAGCTCTTAAAAGAAAATTGTTGAAAGAAGTACCGATAAAAATTTTTGATATAAAAAGAGATATTTTAAACAAATAATTATTCTAATAAAAGATGCGTGGAAGCGTATATATTCACAAGGACTTCTATAAACCCCCTCCCAGCTAATGATAATCCCCGCTCAAAAATTTAACTACCCACCTCCTTTGAATTTTATACTTCACCACACAATTGGCAAAAAAATGGCATCCAATCAAAATTACCTTCTACCCCCCGCCAATTTTATTTAAATAACATAACAGTAGCGTCTTCGTAAATACCTACCTCCTCCATAATAAAGATTTTACGTCATGCCCTACCCCCACCCCCGTGATAAAAGTCCCTGCTTATTTATCATGATAACCTGCCCATCTTCATAAGTTATGACATTTCATGTTTAAAATAATATACTAAATCTCTCAAGTTTAATTTATTTAATATTATAAAAAGAAATCGATGTACAACAAAAACTCAGCCAAACAAAGAACCACTCCCCCCCCCCTTCAGGTTCCCAAAATATGCAAATATTTTTTAAGATAAAACATTTTCATGAATTGCAAAGTATCACTTATGGCCATATCCTTATTTCAAAAAGGCTATATTTTATTTTAAATTATTGAAGACAGCCTTTTTTTCCATTGAAATGTATAATAAATGATTAAATTGTCAATTTTTCAAAACAATTGTTGATTTGGTAAAGACCATGAAATTTGCTGATAACGGGGCAACCTACTTATAGCCGTAAACTGTCAACTGAGCCTAGGGTTTTTTTGAAAATATTACTCAAGTGAATAGAGTAGTAGTAAATTAACTCCTATCTCAATTATTGAAGGATTATCTATGGTAAGGGCTTGTATATTGAGCCAATTAGATAACTATGACATTTACGGAGTATCGTTCCAATATTACTGTTGACACAATTGCGAATTATTGTAAAATCTTTATCCCTCTTTAAGATATATTGACTCAAAATTATGACATATTTGTGATTTATCAAATGGCTCTAACTAATATTTTTAAATCGCGATCCTTCTGAATATATATATATTAAATGTTTGATATTGAAAAAAAAATTAAATATCTAGTCTAATTTTATTCATAGGATATAGTATTTGAGGGTCAATTAATTTTAGAGATTTTTTCAAATATATTAAAATTACCATTTATTTTAACAATAGTCATTTGAGAAAATAAGGCCTATTTATAATGTAGTTTAGAAAATAGACTGAATGGATTGGCTTTACTAAATTTACATGTAGATGTGGTCCTTTCCAATTTTATTTATATGATTAAAAACTAGTTCTAATAATTTTTTTTATTATGGTTATTCTAATACAAAACCTTTAATGTTCAAACAAGAAATCGCTTCAATATTTTTAATATTATTTGGCATTTCTTTTCTAGGTAAATCTTGTACAAAAAACATATGGGTACAAAAGGGCATACAAATATAAATTATATTTTTTAATAAAAAATATTATAATAAAATATTTATTTATACTATATAAAAAAAGTATGCTATGGAGTTTGTAATGGCCGTTTCATAATTTATACATTAATTTAAAATAATAATAAAATATGTTATTCTTTAAAAAAATATATAAATTTTTCATAAAAAAAAGAAAGAATAAAAGCATATTCAAAAGGTTAATTATATATTTATGACTCAAGAAGACCCCTTCTATAACCAAGAGACGAATATAATTTGCAACAAAAATTAAGCTTTTTAAATTAATCAAAATTTGACTTAATCAAGGGAAAGGGGTAAAATATTATATTTATAAAATGAATACTTAAAATTTTTAGAATGGCTTTTTCAAAAAATATTATAATGCTTCATATTTTATATATATAAAAAATATAATAATTATTGCACAAAAAATAGAATTTTATAACAGAATTCGAATACATAATAATATATAATAGTGTGGATGTGAATTTAAATACATGATTTCAGCGAGAATTAAGCCAGAAAATAAGATACAGTATATGTTATATATACGATTTTATCATTTCTGTTATATTATATGGGAGGGGGGATTTCAATGTATAATACAATATATCCATCATCTAGAGAATATTAAAATTTTCATTGAAATCTTGACAGTCAGCACTTCTTGAAAAAAAATCAAAAATAATGATCGTATTCTAAAGATCGGCTATCTATCGGTGCCCCAGTGTTTTTCCCATTAATTACGAAGTTACCAGTTTCGCTAAACTGATCCTCACAATTTCCCATATTTCCGCCAGATCCATTTTCACCTTTTCCCATCAAATAGTCCTCATGGATTCCATTGATTTGGGATATGTCGAGCTGAAGGAAGTCCGTGTCGGGAAGGTTCCAATGGTCGATAAGGCATTTGACGTATGACATTTCTTTCCGGGCGTTTTGGTAGATAAGGTGAATTTGACTGGCAGGACATTTAAGCAGGTTAGGAGCCATAACGGTGGCAAGGTTGGAAGAGTCCATTTTGTTGAGAAGAGAATTGGCGGGTGAGGCAAAGATCTAGAATAAATTATTTTTCAAATATAATATTTACTTCCGGAAGCATAAATTTTGGTGAGCAATTAAATAATGCCTTTTTGAAAAAAAATAGAATGAATGTTAAAAATATAAAGAGATAAGGTAAAATAAATGTAAAAATATAGGTGAAAGCCCATAATTTTGAAGGTTATATTATAAATTTCATTAGTTAATATTTTTAAAAATAAGAAAAAAAATAGGAATATGCCTCTAATACTATAAGAAGCAGTTAAAATATTGTGAATCAATTTAAGTCATAGTGAAAAAATTAATACATACTTTCTATGGATATTAAACAAATGTTTTAACAAATGTTTTGATAATTTAATAATTATAAAATGGATTGATACCTTAAAACGATGCTGATATAGTAAATAATGTAAATAGCACAACAAAAAATTGTAAAATTATTTATTTTATTTTGGTTGAAACCGATTTAACCTCATTTATAAAGGTTCTTTTTATTCCAACAAAATATTATATCGGTTCAGTTATGGTTCATATATTTATAAAGGTTTAGCAGTTTATTCCGGATCCGGGTTCCTGGCGGATATCAATTGAATAAGAGGGCATCGATTCAAAATTATATTGTATAAATATTTGAAAAGGGTGATAAATTACCTGCAAAAATTTAACTAAATATGCCAAGACAGATTTATTTATTCTGGGAAGCCGCTGGGTTATCTCGATAGCTTTTTGAGGATCGGAATTGTTTTCTATGCATTCTTGGTAAAAATGGGCAGGTATCAAAGGTTCATAGAGCTCTCTGTACCTATAGAAAAATGACAAAAACAGACGGTATAGTTAAATAAAGAAATGAATTGTATATATTATGGTCTTCGGATTGGTTTTAAGAGCCCGCTAAGTTTAAATTTTAAAATCTTTATTATATATCCGAACCATAATTTGAGTAGCGAGGCGTGAATGTGAGGATCCGTGACATGCGGCGGTACTATCCATTGATCCATTTTGGATTTGAGCGAATTCACTTCATCAATGTCCCCCGGTATCCTTTCGTTCAAGATAAAATATATATTTTACTAAAATGCTTTGAAAATTACTACTACTAAAAAGCTTAATCTCTCTGTCAATTTACACAAAATATCATATAGAAAATTAGTTTTGTGATTGTAAAATTATATTAAATTTTGAAAATGTCTTATATAGAAATAAGCTATTAAATTTTTTATTTAAATCTCCATTTACTCTGAAAAGAGTAGACGATTTTTACTAAACCTATTAAATAAATGATATTCAAAGATCTCGTAAATCCGGTATGAAGAAAAGTAGTGGAATACTAAACGTTTGTTCGTGAATTCCACTCAAAATTGTAATCTGTGAGCCGTTCAAAGATCTTTCTCAAGAGATACTGTATCAATCAACATTCCAAAGAATTGATAAGTAATATATTCTTAGCATACATTCCTGTGCAAAAAAATTGTGCAATCTTAGAAGAAATGCTAATTTAAATCTCCCTTTACATTTTTTTGTTATATTTAATTTAAATAAAATTATTCTGGTATCCTTCATTATGTGTCTAAATTTTGGATAAATAGTTAGATAGGTTAAGCTGTTATAAAGTCTCAAAGTTACGATAATTTATTTGGGCAACCACATATAATAAATTTTATTATATTTATGGGAAATTTTACAATATTAAATCGAATTGATAAATTAATAATAATCCTTTATATACCAAACAAATTATTCAATTCATTGAATACCTGAAAATCCCTTCCAACTGATGACCATTGAGTCTAAGTATTTCTGTGGAAAGAGTAATTTGAACCCATGGCAGTTTAAGATCTGGACACTTATCCACTTGAAGATCTAGTATTTCTTCTAGTGTATTACCGAACATAGATGGCAAAAATATGGACATCTGGTGTCAACAGTTTTATTTTTGAAAAAAAGATATAATTATTGGATTTAGCACAAATTTTTAAATCTTTAATAAAAATCATGAATAGGGGGTGCCTTTTTCTGATTATAATCGATATTACTCATATGTAAGCGCATAATGATTCGGTATTTCATACGTGGTATAGGGTTCTAACTTGGAGTTAGAACCAGGGGATGTAAAAAATGAGGGTTTTTATCCCTTAATTTTAGTTTAGAAACCTATCATAATCCAAGCTTTATTAGAATAATTTGGAACTTATTTTGTGTTATTCAAATGTATGCAATCGAGATAGCGATGAAGATGTATAAATTAATTATTATAAATGCTGATTTTTGGTTTAACTTTTAACAAGGATGTCGAATCGCGGAACCGAAATAAACCGTTATAAGAAAATTTTAAGGAGAGAACCGAGCCGTTATTTCATAATGGTTATTGAAATTATATTTATTTATCTTAAATAATCGGCACAATTCAAAATATTTTTAAAAAATTTAGTACAAAATTATATGTATTTTATATTACTTAATTTGTTATTTTTACACATGTTTTAATCATAAAATAAAGAAATCCAAACTTATTTTCATTAATTTTTGTTTTTATTTTTTTAAATATTTTTATTAGATTATAATTGGGCAAGCTAAATAGTATAAATAATTTTTAAAAAATTGAAAATATATAAAACCAGGAATGAACCGATATGGATTAATTAATCAGAACATTCCGGAATGAAACTAAACCATTATACCTATCGGTTCGACACCCTGCACTTTTTAAAAAAATTCACATGTTGAAAAGGATGGTCATCAAAAAAATTTTAAAATGTTATTAATTTTAAGTACATTAAAACTAAAAACGAATAATTTTTTTTTTAAAAAGAAGCATTTTAAAGATTCCCACCTTAGCCTTCTGTATGTCGTCCAGCGTGAGTATCTTATTTTGATTAGAGGCTATTTTCATGGCCATCAAAACACTTTCTTTGTTAGAGAAAGCCCGGGAATTTTTGAATTTAGAATGGTTGGCATTGAAATTCCTCGTGAAATCGTTATTTTCTTCGAAGCTGATATTATTTATGCGTTCCGGGTCGGAGTGAGCGATCGGACGAGTCATCCTGACTTCTAAACCTAAAAGTTTATTCGTTTAAGAATGTTTTTTAAACTCTTCTTATTTTATTTTTTCCAAATCTCTTTTTTCCCCTCATTATTTGCATATTTCAAAAAATAAATCCTCATGTTTTTTTTCTTGCTTCATGGATTTTTTATTTTTATCCCTCACCCATAAGTGGTGAGGGGAAAGGAGAGTCAAAGAATAATAATAAAGTGCGCGCCAAAACGAATGGAAAATTATCTTCCAATCTATTAATATTTCTCAAAATTGATTTAAAGTCCTTCAAAAAAATCAATTGTAAACCGTCGCTTTCCAACTTGTCTCTCTCCCTACAACGACGTTCCAACAACTTGAGGCAATGATCTGCGAACGTGCTAACGGGAGTGCGAGTCAAAGCCAAGGGATCAAAAACGGGATCGGAATGTTGCAAGCAAAAATTACGAAGGTAAGAATCGAATCCGGGGCTTGGCCCGAAAAAGGTGAGACAAAGAGCCATCAATTCCCAACCTTTTTTTGTTGAAATTTTAAGATAAAATTTGTTAAAACGAAATTGTAATAAAGCAATTTAAAATTAAACTTTCATGATATAATTAGTGGTCAAAAACCTGATCGGAATAAAAATTTTGTACCGCTATCATAATAAAGACCTCACCGAAAACCGGACCAGTTTTTATAGGAACCACAAATATTTTATCCTGACCTATAGTTTTTGCTATTTCTAGGTTCTTTTTAATTGAATAAAAAGTGGTGGTAGGGTTTTTTCGACAGTGTCGATTATATCTTTATCCTTTATAATCCGTTCCAAGGTTCGGTTTAAACCGAAAGTATTATCTTAATGATCCGATTTTCTCAGGTTTGACCGAACCGTAGTGGTTTGGTCTTTATAATCCGTTTTAAGGTTCGGTTTAGACCGATAGAAAAATTATATATTATCTTTCTATAATTATCAAATAAATATAACTAATATCACAAAAAAATTTCAATGACATTTCAAATTTTATTCGCGTACACAAAACTAGTTGGTACGATTTTTTAAAATTGCATTTATATATACTCTTATTACTAGATATCATTGATGACGTTAAATCTAACAATAAAATGAAATGGTTAAATCCTTTCAAAATCTCACCTGACAAAATAGAGCATTCATTGTCAAAATTTTTTTCAAGTCAATACGTCAACAAGGCATATTCGATTTAAATTAATATTATGAATATGCTATAACAACTATAGATATCGACGTTGCCCAAAGCAGCACGTAAATTTTCCATAGATTTTTTTTGGCCCGGACCGGTCCCTAGTATCTTTTTATGAAAATAAACTAAGTTTGTATAATCCCCAGTTTTAAAAACATTTTCAAAACTTTGGCCGGGCCCGCTCCGAAAATATTTTTGCCTGGCCCCGTCCGGGGCTGCACCAACCTTTGCTATACAATATACTATATAGAAATATATCATAGAGCGTAACAAAAATTAATATTACTTGTACTAAATAGGCCCCCTTGTCTATCTTTATTGGCTAGCTAGATTATTTATCAATTAAGGCAACAGTTTCTTGTGAACAATTATTTTCTAAAGCAGGTGAGTTTTTAACAATTAAAGAAAAAAATGGTACGATTAAATCTTAATGAATATAGAATTATTATTCTATATACTTTATATGTGGTTCATGTCCATGGTTCAGTTTTTAAAATGGGTTCTGTTTCAGTTTTTGAAAATCGGCTCCAAACCGAACGAGTTGGGGTTAGTTTGTAAATATAACACATTTTATAGGTAATAAGAGCAAAAGACCAGCAGTTTCTGTACGTCAATAATTTAATAAAAAATTATATAGATATCTTCAATTTTGATTAGAAAAAAATATTAAATTAAAAAGGGTATATACCAAAAAGTTGGAGGAAAATATAATATCTATTTAAAATGTGAATATTCTGTTAACATATTTTATAGGACTACCTCAAGATGCCATTAATGTGGAACTAAGAGTCGAAAGGACTTAAATTATATAAAAGCAATTAAAATAAAGAATAGGATATATGTCCTTGTATAACTCATAAAGAAAATTTGTCCAATTGTCGGATAATATAATGTAATGGGGATAAAATGATACATGATAATATGAGAAGATAAATTCTGTAAAAATAATGGTATTTGGTGGCGTAAATAAAATAGAAGACAAATGTAGAATGTATATTTGGATTAATTGAAAGAATAAATCCGGTCAGTTGGCTAAAGAAAAGAAAAAATTGTTATCTCTTTTAGAGATATCAAAGTTTCATTTAACCGGGATGAGATGATTCGAGAAAATTATAAGGCCATTTATAATTGTATGAGGGGGATTTCTTATCCGAATACATGGAAGATCCAAAGACTTCATGAACCACAGTATGGGCGGCAGCTAAAATATTTGAGCTTGAAAGTCGGACACATCTGTATATTCTCAAGAGGGGTCATCTTCGAGAATATCTAATGATATATTAAATATAATTCTAAATAAATTAACAAATAAATAAACCCGTTCCATGGATAGTCCAATTATTATGAATATAGTTTATCACATTATCTAAATCAAGATGGAAAGTTCCTTTAAAAATCTTCTGGCAGTTATCCATCATAGGCACCTCCATAATGTCTTTATTCCTCTTTAATTTCCTCATTTTATGTTACCTCCCACAAGCCTTTTTCCACATTCATCCACCATGCTATTCAACCAAGGTGACCAAAACATTTAGATCATTATACCCAGTTAAGATGCTGCATACAATCCCTAATTTTGTCATTATATTGAATCTATTTAATAAAAACTTTTTCTTTATCTAAACACCCACCACTAGGACAGGCTGCAAATAACGCCGAGTTTGTTTCTAACTAAAATAACGCCGAGTTTGTTTCTAACTAACATTTTTTATACTGAAGAAATCCAAGCTTGCCTTCCTATTTAACGATATTTCGACTTCTATAAATTTCTTTTCTTTAGTATCTAAGATATCAATAATGAGTCTTGTTGCAATCTCATGATAGAGCAACATAATGTAGTAAAAACAATACTTTACCAAAAGTCAGACAAATACCACAAATTTAATTTGAACACGAGGCTTTGGTGAATCGGGAAAACATAGGAAAACTAGTTCCAACAGAGCGCGAGAATGAGGTCATAGACATAATATAGTTTGTATTTTGTTATGGCATCTATAAGCATTCCCTCAATTATTCTTAGTATATATTGGTTATCATTTTCGCTAGTGTTGAACCTGTTGATTTTGGCGATAATAAGTTAATCTTGTGACTTATCCCAAGTGGGTAAAGAAAAACAATTCGCAGTTATTGGTCGTTTTTCAATTTGCCCTGTTATTCAAATCAGTTTCATAAATTGTTTCATCAATTGGTACAATGGGAGAGTACCGTAACGTTTCTAAAATTTCGTCGAAAATATTGGTATCTAAGTTGCAAAACAAAATTACAAACCATATCATGTCTAAAAAATTAGCTTTAGCACTCAGTTCTAACTAGTTTTCCAGTGCTCTCCAGATTCATCAAAATTATTTCTTAAGTCATTAGTTTATAAGCTTTGGGCCTACGTTAAATCGTGTTATTTGTTTAACATTATTTGTAATGTAAGAATTTGTAATTACTACACGATGTGACTGAAGTCGTGTGACTACGACAAACCACTTTATTTGATATCCTAAATATTAAAGATTGTTATATTTCACTTATTTATTTTTAACAGTTCTAAAACTTTTATTTATATAGTATTCCTAGTTTTTTTTATATCGATAATATTTCTAGCTATTCATTTCTTCTTCTTTTATTTAACCAAGTATGGTATTTAAACAGCACTCGAAATAATATTTTTTTGTCCATTGTATAAATTATGAGAAAATACTCACATAAGCAATAATGTTATTATTTAATTTTATTTCTTATCAGCATCCCCTTCTAGTTTACGTCCCGAATTATATACCATCACAGAAAAATATCCCAAACAATAATGTTATTTTTGTGTATTCATTGCTTTGCAATATTTTGTTATATATAGGCAAAAAAAATTGGTAATAGTGAATAGAAAATTATAATGTATAATTATTATATTATTATGACGATATCTATTAGATACTTTTTATAATATTTTAGACAGGCAAAGAATGATCAAAATTTTGATGAAACCAGGTTCCCTTGTCCCCACCCCCAAATTTTCCGGACAATCGGCTGTCGTAGATAGCTCCTCTACCCTTCCGTTCGTGCAACCCGCGTACCGGGCTCAAAACATAACAGAAAATAAGTTAATAGAAGTGAAAGTATCGTTAAATATTGCAGGTCAATATTTCTTTAGTATAAAAAGAATTTCAGTTAGGAACAACTAAGCACAACCCAAAATATTAACTATGAGAAATCATTCGTAGTTTTGCGAAACAATTAGAAGAATGAACATGAAAACATCAGGTGATAACGATTCTGGTAGCACATTTAATAAACGAAGAGCCCCTTCAGCATTCATCCGATGGAAAAATTATCAAACAAGGCAGCAAGATGCTTTATTGAAGAAGCAATAAAAACAAATACAGTAGTAGTAGTGTTTTCTTAAAGGATGAACAATCCTTTTTCCAGATTAGGTGGATCTTATCTCGTTTGAGTGAACCAAAAGAAAAAACATTCACATGATGCAATAGCCGTATGCCTATCTTTTGCAAAACGAGGAATAGGGATCAGCAGTCATGAAAAGATTTGTATCTAGTATTTGCTTTAGGGGGGGGGGGGTCCTCATCATGCAAGATCTCCGACTGATAAAATCAACATTAATTACTATCAAAACAATGTGTCATCATACCATAGAAAATGGGGCTTTTTGTTTTATAAGCCACCATATATTAATTAGTAGTGTTAAATGGCTCGATTTGAGCCTTTTAAAAAACGGTTAACTCAATTTAGCCAGAAAAATATTGTAAGCCTTCGCTCCACTTATATTCGCTCCGCTTGGACAACAGGTTCAGGCTCTCGTTCTCAGAATTGTAACAAAATATCAATAAAATATATAAAAAATTTTAAATAAAACAATATCCTTTAATTTGTAAATTTTATTGAGCATCTTTTAGAGGCAATTCAAACTGACAAATACAACAGGGTCAAGAATCAAGATTATAAAAAGGGTGGCCATTAGTTATGAGAAAATGTTTAAGCCATTTCGATTTTATTTTGAAAAAAATAAAAAATAAGACACGTTTATTATTACATCCTAATAAATTTAGTTTCATAAATAAAGAGATTAGTGATTTCAAAAATATTTAAATATTATTATGAAATAAATATCTTATTAAATATATTTTTATAAATATAATAGAAACTATGTATTATTAATATAAAAAAAATAAAAATCGAAAATTAAAATTAATACCGGTCCGGACGAAGACCGATTGCACTAAGCCAAAGACCGTTTTTAAAATTAGTCCGATCTCAGTCTTTTTGGCCCGGGCCGTTGGCCCCTCTATATGCAATTTTGGGTCTTAAATCGTGTAAAAAAAATTATAACCTTTAACGAGGGAAGAATATGGGTCGGGGTTTTCGGTTGTTTGTCGGCAGAGTTGCATGAGAATCTCGTCTCTCAGATTAAGTTTCAGGGTGGGATAGCTGTTCGGGTAGTATCTTTCGGGCAGTTTCAGTGGGGAATTTTTGAGTAGAGGGTAATTTGACACTTTATTACTGCTATCCGAATTACCAGAGTTATTCGGTAACCGTTGGATATGATAGTTATCTGGGTTAAGCCTTCTCCATTCTTCGTGATCATATCCAATATCGGGGACGAATCCCTCCTTTTTAGGGTAACTATCAACATGGTATTCGGCATCGTCGATTATGGGTTGGTCGTTTAAGGATGATGTAGAGTTGGGGTCGTCATATCCAAATGTATTTTGATTCTGTTGGTGGTGCGTCTCGGGAGATGGTAATGAAACTCTAGAAATATCTGCGACAGTATCCATGCCTAGGTAAGGGGATGGCAGAAGACGGCAATTGAGTCCTTTATTGACTATGTCCAGGGCCAGCTTAATAATTAGAAGAAAAAATCGCATACTTATTTTTAAAAAAAATATATATATGAAAAATTGGTTTACATTCTAAAATTTATGAAAATTTTTTTAAAATTCAAGGGCTATCGATTTCGGAAATATGGTAATTAGCAAAATTAATAATAATTTCATTTTACATATAAAAACAAATTTAATAACTCTCGACTGATTAAAATCTAATAATCTATACTTATATGGCCACTCATTTTTTGAAATTTTTATAGCTCAGTGTTTTAGTTTTTTTTATTATATTTGTTCTTTTTAAATTAGTACGCGCCTTCTGATCTCATTATTTTCTTAATATGATTTGGCAGAATCGGATTGAGATGGAAGCAATAGGTGATGTCTTGAGGATAAATAGACTGGTTGAACTGAAGGGAAAGGATGATTGGTTGAATAGATGGGGTTGATAGGAAATGGAGGGAACAAGATCCAGAGGGCGACCAAAGATGAGCTGGGTGAAAGTGGTAAATATTGACATGAAAAGGGTGGGGAGCGGAAACTATAGAAAGGGGATTAGAAATGGAAATGCCAATGATGAAGAAGATGAGTTTGGAACAGGTACAAATCTAGGAACATGACTCAGGACGCCTTTAAAATTTATGGGAACCCGAAGCCATTTTAAAATTTCCAGCAACTAATTTACATGTTTAAAATCTTATGATTTATTGTAAAAGGTGCATGGCCTAATTAACAAGGTTATTAGTACAAGAAACTGGATTTTAAAAAAAATAAATATTCAGAACACTGTTAATTTTGTTAAACGGCTCGATATGAGCTGATTTTTAAAAACGGTTAACTCAATATTTTATCTAGAAAAATATAAAGTATGGAGTTAGTTGTTTATAAAATTCGGTTCAAATCGAGCAGTTTAACAACACTACTATGAATATATGTCTTTCCCGCTATTTGGGTGTTTTAACTCTTAATCTCCCCTAAGAAATGGTTGTAAGCAGAGCAGATTATATACCATCTCCTTTTTTTAATCAGATATGTTCTGAAACCGATAGTTGGTACGGCTAAAAAGGTGGTACCGGCGAGTCTCTGATTTTATTTCCAGAGCGATAAAGTTGGGTAGTATTTTGATCGTTTAGTGTTTTTTCTTAATGAATAAATTACCGAGTTCAGACTTTGCTTCTTGCATCTTTTATCACCCATATACATTTGGATTTTTTTGAATATCTCTATAGCTTCTTTCTTTATGGTTTTATCGTCCGTTTCGATCATTGGTTGTTGAATAGCCTCCTAATTAAGAAATCCATTATTAAATGATATTATTTAGAAAAATTTAAGAGATGCAAGTTAATATAGAATCTAAATTTGGTATCAAAATTTTGTCCACAATCTTTGCCAATCGATATATATTGATATATATATAAAAATATAAAATAGTATCGAATTTGAATATTTAAAAAACGTTTGTAATAAGAATAAAATTCGTGCCATTATTATATTTCGCAAATTTTTGATATACAAAATTTTGATTATTTTTTAGTAAAATGCAAAAAAAAAGAATTACCTTGCTCCAGGATAGCATATTAGCTATGGATAACTTCTTTCTAAAGAGTCCCCTCTTGTGCCTATTTATATTAAATTTGGGCCCGTATGCGTCGTTATTACCGCTATTATAATTGATTGCACTATCACCGTGATTGACGTTATTAAAGCTCCCGCAACTATTGGAAGATGCCTTTAGCTGCTGACAGTTTGCGGTTTCGAAACTCAGATGATTGATATTTCGATCGTTATTCCTATAAAATGAGTGATCTTCGGGTACAGGTCCGGATACCAGATATTTATTCCTGGATTTCACATTTTTTGCTAAATTGATTTGATTATAATTGTCAGCTGTTGTACCGGAAAAGGTGGAAAGCACTGATGGAGATGGTAAGGAAACTTCGTTATAGTGATTGGGAAGTGAAACTTCACCCAAATGATTAGGAGAACAGGTTAATAGTGGGGAAGTAGGGGTCTGTAATAAAATAAAATTAAAAAAAAAAGATATATTGTTTCTATAAATAAGTAATAAATTATGATTTACGATATAGTCGATTAAATCATGATTGATATAATAAAGGAAGAAAAGGAAATTGATTCTAAAAATTTGTGCAAAATACTTGTGGGTAAGGCCAAAATCATTTTTTAAGCTTTAGAATTGGAAAAATTTATGTCGTTTTTCTTCATAAAAAAATTATCGAGGGCCTGGCCAGACAACTTGACAAAATCATTTTACGGACTAGGGAGCGGAAGAGGCTGAAAACTATTTGATCACCATAATAATCGACATACAATCTTAATTTTGCACACTTCAATATTTTACTTCATTTTCCTTTTAAGCTTACCTTCCTAAAACCCCCACCCCTTCTGCCAAAAAATTTCGGGTAAAAAAAATGCCATGGAATAAAATTACCATTAAAATTTGTCCACTGAAATTTCGATTTCTATTGTTGCCGAAACTATTATTAAGTGGGCAAGTTTTGTGATTATTATGGCGTGCGAATCTATGATCGCTAACATCGTTTAAAGTAGCGTAGTGCGTGAGCGATGACATGAGAAGGGAAAGAGGTCTACTGGCGGCGGGGTAGTTGTAATGCATATTATTAACCATATTGTTTTGGGATATATTTTTCCTGTGGTAATTCCAATTTTGGGAATCGTTGATAGAAGAGTTATGATTAACGGGTGAGATTAGTAGTCTGCTAATTCGGCCAATGGAATCGAAATTGTTTGGGTCGTTTAAATCGTTTATAAGCTTGTGGCTCGAATTTAATTTTAGAGGGAGATTTCTGTTAGCCTTTATTAGAGAAATTATAAAATGTACTTCATAAAAACTTCATTAGTTTAAAAAATTTTGAAAATGTCTAAGGAGGTAGCTAGTCGTAAGATTCGAGAGTAGGACCTGGTGAATTACCTCCCTACCGTTTTCTCATGTATAAACGTTGAATTCAAAACTTTAAAATTAGAAATAAATTAGCTAGATCATATTACTTTGACGTTATCGCATTCGAACTTTGTACGTTTGGCATCGTCATCAATGGGGAGTATCGTTTGGTCACGGTGTTTTGCTGGCAGTGCTTTTATGTTCATAAAAATCATTTGTCAATCTATCCACAATAAAATTAGCCTCTCACTTAACTGATTTCTTTACATCTTTGTTTCTTCCTTCCCTTAATTCAAAAAAGAAAACAAATTAGGTTTACCAGTTCTAAAAGAGCTAACTGAATTGCCAGCTGCAACATAAACACTAGCGTGATCTACCAAATTTTTTGATTCAAATACTGTGCCACCCATTCCAAGCCCTCCACATTTCACGTACAATGCATTTCGATTACTTTTCTCGATCTGGTTAACGGTAACGGCAAGCGCGTCGGTACTGTTCCATTTGGCAGTGACGGTAAATTTGTTTTTCTCTCTGGGGTGTTCATCGCCAAAAGGAATAGATTCGAGGTGACCGTAGTAATTTCGATAGTTCTGTGAATCGGGCGAAGGATGGTGATATAGGGCAGAACCGTCGTTGCTATTCTGATGCGGGGGATATTGATTGATGTGATTGACGCGATTATAATTATCGACATCGATTTGCGAACCGCAATCGGACGAGGAGAATGAGGACTCGTTATTGCTCGTCATGAAGTAATTTCCGTTATTGTAGTATCTGGCAGTGCTTGAAGTGGATACCTAACCGTAAATTTGAAAGATGAATGAATCATTCTTACATCCAGCTAGTACGCTATTATTATATATAATCAGCTGAGTATTAAAGTGTTCTATATCCATTTTTTTTATAAATTAATTCTTAAAAAAGTATTTTTCGTATTTTAAATAGGAGATCATGTTATAATTATGCTATTTGAATGTTTTTATATGGAAGAATTGATTTATCTAAAAAAAAGCATTTTATGCATCAGCCTTGTCCATAATTAATTTATCCAGACCAGACAGGCTTAACCAACATATCTATTTTGTTTTTCAATCAATATGATCACGCTAATTAAATTTTAATATATTATTTAAGATAAATGATGGTTAAAGGAATTCAAACTTTATCATATATATGGTGGTAGGCTTCATCACGGGTGATAAGAGGTGATCTCATCGCGCCATTTACTAAGTTTGAACCATAGAAGTTGTGTCCGCTAGTGTAAAGCATAATATGGTAAAATATTTTAACACAAATCAAGTTACTAGATTAACCCTATTATCCAAATAAAATTTAGAAATTGAAGAGTAATATTGGCAAAATAGTTGAGAAAAAAATATACCAATTCATGGGTGGCTGCACTAAGTTGTATGTCGCGTTAGAACGATGGTGTCTGTACTTCAAAAGAGCCGCTACCCCTAATTTAGGGTACCTGGGTCGGCAAGAAAACACTACCGATTCACCGACATTAGTTTTATTCAGACTAACGACACTATGATTTTCGATAGGATCGGGTCCTAAGAACCTGTCTCTCCTCCCATGCAGACATTTGATGTTCTCAACTGCTGAATCAAATTTATCATATTGTTGGTCCAATTTGTGGTGAGGGATTTCCTTCCTATTGGGATTACTTTCCTCGTTCGTAGATTGGAGTTCATTCACTTGGCTCTTTCTCTCATTCTCAATTTTGAAGTGGAATAGATTGCTATCTCCGGTTGAGACGGGCTCACTATCTATAAATGCTATACGATCGCCAAATGACGTTGATGGGTGGGAGAGACAAGGGGATGGGGTTTTAGAATTTGTCTTGGAATTTGTTTGGGAATCATCTGATTTTGAGGAAGATGATATCGAGGAAGGATTCGAGGATGAAGTAGAGGAGTTGTCGTTGCCATTATTTAAGGAAGTAGATAGCGCCATTTGTTGTAGCTGCGATTTGCTCTCGCCAATGGGAGTCAAAGAAGTGGGGGGATTGATTATGAATGCCGAGGGGAGATGTGCGGCAGAGAGGCGTGTATCATTAGGGTAAAATTGTTGATCTGATCTCTTTTCTTTTTTTAAACTAGCAACCGAAACCTTTTTGAGTTCAATATCAACGTCCTTAACCGAGAAACGGTCGCATTGGGGATCAGAAGGAGTTGGGATATTAGCTCTGTGGGAAGTGTGATGTTTACTGGTTTCTGGGTTAGTTTTGTCTAATAAATATGTATTCGAATGCTTGAGATTGAGTTTCGAAAGGGGTTTGTCAATTTTTTCGGTGTTAGAAAGTTGACTAAGATTATCTGTAATATAAGCATAAAACATTTCTTAAAAAAAATTTAGACCATATAACCAAAGGTTGAGGTAGTGTTTCAATAAAAAAAATCTTAATAATATCATATTATTGCTGCTATCATATTATATTTTTACCGTGTTGGTTAAGGCTTTGAAATTTGAATTGCTTAGATTTGCTCATAAAATTTTCCTTGTTTAATTTATAATTTCGAATATCGCACTCGCGGGTTTGAAATTGTGTTTCAACAACGTTTTTCTTGCAGTCGTTGTTTTTCGAATGACTACTATTTTTATGTTCTGGGGTTTCGAAGGCGGTAGTTTTAGGATCTAGAAATGGTTCGCTGGCAATGAATGAGGAGCTAAAGGGAATATTTTTTTGAAAATAAAGGTAGGTGTTGTTGTGAATCTAAAGACGGAGAAATTATCAAATTATTTTTATAAAAATAAGACATCTTAAAATAGCCCGCCAAAAATATTATAATTATTTTTTTTACTCTAAATATTTGGATGGGATAATAGAGGCGGATTTAATTATTCTCTTCCTATTAACGTAAGGTGAAGCGTTGATTATGGCTGGTAAGGACTTAGGGATAGTATCTTTAGATTCCGTAGATGGATTTAAATCCTGCAAACTCGCGGGGAACGGAGTTGATGCAATGGCTAGATTAATACATTAATGATATAATATGTGTGGATTTATGTAATAGGTGTTAAATAGGTTATATCAAACATAGAGTTTAGAAAATGGCATATATGACGTTTATTTAGCGTAGGTTTTAAAAAATAACATGAGTGGTTAGATCGGGATAAATAGATTACCCCCATTTAACTGTTATATCTCATTCAAATTTCTATATTAGGCTTTGATAATTTAGACATTTATTAAATCAACCTTAATTATTATCATAAAAATTTAAATGATATAATATTTTAATTTTTTATGAGAATTTTGTAAAGTTTCAAAAATAAAGCAAAATGCCTAAAATATTATTTTCCTAAAAATATAATTAAACATGCATTAATATTTAAATATTAGTATAAACTTGTTTTTAAAAAAAAATATTATTTAAAAAAAAGTTATAAATTAAAATGTGCGTGTTTGACTTTAAAAAATGTTTATAATCTAAAAAAAAATCATTCAATAAAAATAGATGAAACTTTTCAGAAACAGTTTAGCATAAAATAAGAGGCTACTGAAAAGAGCCAGTTCATCGATACGGGTTATTTGTAGTAACTAGCGGTAACTAAAATTTAATGGGGCGTTGTTATACCTCAGTATACCTTTTTCAAGAGTTTAATAACAGAGTAGTGTGCATCATAATTAAACTAACCTTGATCTTTACGATGAATATCTAAATTATAGTCCATTTCTTTGATAGGGGCCATGGCATGTGAGGAGGGCAACTTGAATCTCAACACAGCTGGTTGGTCAGGTTTACCTATATTTAAAATATATAGTCCCTTAATTTATAGAAAATATTATATGCGGAATAAAAAAGTTTTCCCGTCGTAGGATTTTTAAAAATTGACACTTTTGCTATCTTATCATTATATCATGAAGGTTTTCGAGGAAAAAATATTTATTCGTATATTACTTTGATGCAAATAGAGTCTGAGACCTTCTTTGATTCTTCCCTTGAATTCTTCCCCGCCCGGGTGCTCGGGGTCAAAATCAATGTTCCTTTCTCCTCGTTCACCACTAAGATTGAGTTTTTTGTCATTGATGACCCTATAGCTGCCCAGCATCCTGAGTTCCGATGGCATGGCTTGAAGCAAAGACGTATTGGTCAGAGTTTTTTTGAGGACATCGGCGTCATTGATACCGTAAATATAGTTATTTTTTCCTTCTATTTCGGATTTTGACTGGTCTAAATAAGTATTCGATTCGAATGAAGTTAAAATGGAGGTAGTCATAACCGGGGAGGTTCCATCGTTAATGGCATAACTGGAAATAAGGAGGTGAGGAGGATCGAATAGAGAGTTAAAGCTCCCGCTTTTCCTTAGCTGGCGATTATTAGTGCCATTTTCTTTGGTTCGAGGTATGTCTACTCGTTTAGGCTTATCGCAATTATCCAAGTGATAGTGGGCATGGGTGGATTGGTTAGCTTGAGTAGCTATTGATTGACTTTGATCTACGGTTTGAGATATCGGTTTGCTCATACCACTAGAATTCAAGATATTGGATATGGATCCTATCGGAGGTTTTCTATGGAAATTTGTTTATATATTTTTTAAAAAATGGTAAAAATTCGTAATTTTTTGAAAAATATATAATAGGCTTTTCTAGAAATTATTTTTATTGGGAAATAATGAACATAATTCATAATAATTATGGTAACTTTTATAGTAAATTTCAGCAAAAAAAAAGTTAAGCTGTTTAGTTAATTAAGGGTAATGTAACGGAAATGCTATTTGCATGTTTATATATTTGTATCAAATTAATTAAATGAAAATAATTATAAAAACCCAAAATTTATGTTTTTTTTTATATAAAAAAAAGAAAAGTATGCTAAAAAATGTAAAGGTAACATTATAAAATGTAAAGTGTTTTTTGTAAAAATAATTTAAAATAATGATTTATGAATTAGAAAAATTTAGACAGAAAAATGTTTTTTTAAAAGTAAAAATACCGAAAACAAGATCTATATCGTTCGGTGTATTGGTTATATACGGTTAAAAGGTATAAAAAAAATTTTAAGCTTTCCCAAAATTTCCGTTTTCATTTAATTTTTTTAAGAAAATAAGATTTAAAAAGAAAATTGTAGTCTCAGGAGGCCTTCGAATATAAGAGTATAACACTATCAAGACTCCTCGGATAACTAAGCCAAAATTTATTTTAGAAAGATAAAATCTGTTTTTTGTAAATTTTACAATAAACATAATTTTTTTTACGAATTCTTTATAATTGTATTTTGTGTAGCGGGAAAAGATTTATACATATAATTTATGAAAATGTCATTCAGACTTTCTTAAATATATATTATATATTATATAGTAAATCCATTTTTTCCCTTCTTGTATTAGGGCTAGGGTGGCATATCTCATGTTATAAACTATTTCCAAACGAATATTACGTGCTATGCCGATATTAACCTAAATAAATCCCTATCCTATCAAATCTATGAAGTTAATTTTTTTATTTCCCTAATCATCTTGAAAAAATATAAGCGTTACTCCTCATTCACATTAAGCGAAATTCATGGCGAAATATACAAAAATACAGCATATTATATATAGCCCGCCGCGAATTCGCTCTAACTGTAAATGCAGGGCTTTGGGTGAGTTCTAGTTACATAACCTTAGATTCCTTAACAATTTTTTTAATATTAAAATGGAAAGGGGGGGGGGCGGGTCGGTCGAAACATTATTGATTTTGCGGCCCTTTATAAAAATATTATTATTATTTTATATCGCCATATTATAATTTATAATATATAATGTGATAAAAACCATTCATCTTTTATAAAATCCAAGGACGAAATTATCTCTCCCTACTATAATTGCCCACTAAAATTTGTGTGGTGTTCGTTGAAAGTGATTCTTAAATAATATATTCAATAGTATTTTAAAAAATGACTTATGCTTAGATAGATAAACGAGATAAGTAGATGTTATTTTTTTTAAAAAGTAGTATGATATCAAGAGTTAAACGATATTATAATAATAAGTTGGATAGTCTTCATGGTGGATATGGGAGGATACAAAACGAAATGAAAATTAAATAAGATATTTTTTTAAAAAAATATTAATAATATCGATTATTTGCGAATCGCGAAAGAAAAAAAGTTTCAAAGGCGAAATCGCTTCTTATTTTTTTCGCACATTATTTTATCAATCATGGTTAATATTTTAATATCGAATTTAGTTTTTAAAAATCGAATTTTTTTTATTTTAAACGACTAAAGGTCATTTAAAAAAAATATATGATTTTTTTTGGTATTACTTGATAATGTATAAAAGCATCGACCTCGCTAAAAAGGAAAAAAGCCGTTTAATTTGAGAATTCCTAAAAAAAATTATAAAAAACGACCCAATTAAGATATTAGCTAAATAGTTTTATGTATGCCTCGAGATTTGACAAATAGAAATCCAAGCCTTTCTGACATCTATGAACAAAATCTCCAGGCTTACATAAAATTATTTTGGCTAAAATCCTAATCGAGTCGTTTTTACAAAATTGACCCGGAAATCGGGGTTTTAAAAACCCTAATTTAGCACAACTAAATAAAATTTTATATAAGTAACTTTAAATGATAAAAGCTAGCGAGACCTCACTGGTATAAAAAAAAATTTCTTTGGGGGAAAAAAATCTTTTCAAAAAAGAGTTAAAATAATTATTCCTTCAATTGATATCATAATCATAATTTAATTAAATAAGTAAGTGTTTATAGATTTTCGTTCTATCGTATATATACATATATCGGGTAATGATCATAATTGGCAAAACAAAAATGGCTTTTATTACCGAGTACATGTAATTTGGTAGATGTAATGAAGGCTGCCATATTTAACCCTTGTAAAGGTTAAGTAGGATATAAAAAATCCCACGTTTTAAAAACAATTCTCCCTGACACACATATTTAGTGATTGTTAAATAGTTCATATTTTTTTGGCTAAAATATTGGGTTAGCAGTTTTTATTAAATCGAGCCATTTACATTACACATATCATATAAACTTAAATTTATTTAGATTATGTTACTTGGTGTTAGTAGTGAGAATAATAATTTTAAGTGTTAAATTGGAATCAATTTTCTTAACCTTCATTTCTCGAAGGGTTAAATGCTCAGAAAAGAAACATTTTATTTTATCCCTTATTCAATTTCGATATAAAAATCAATACAATTTCTTAATTTGACAGTTATATAAAAATAACGAAAAGACATTCTTACAAAAAATATTCATTAAAATCTATTTGATTTTTTTTTTGAAATATGCAGGATTCAAAGAAATTAATTATTTGCCCCATCCAGTGTTGTTAAAAGGCTCGTTATGAGCCGATTTTTAAAAACGACTAAATCAATATTTTATCCAGAAAAATATTACATAAGTCTTAAGATTTTGCTCATAGATGGCACAAAAGTTTTAACATCTATTAACGAATCTCGAGACTCAGCCAATATCTTTCCGACTAAATATTGATTTAGCCGTTTTTAAAAATCGGCTCAAATCGAGCCGTGAGAATTATTAAATTATAATGTATAATTCTTATTTGATACACATTTATCATTTTATTTAAAAATAAGGTTACTCTTCTTAAAATATGAATATTAAAGATAAAATAATGTCATTCGAAATTCGATATAGTTTATGTTATTTCGAAATTTAGACATATAAATCGATGCTAAAAAAAAGTTATCAAGATAACAATTAAGAAAAAGGAAGAAATAAAGAGATAAACCGAGAAAAAAGGAAAAACATATAGCAAATGAATATCAAATAAGGTCAATAAGAATTTTAATTTAAACTGGAAATCCCTCGTGTAAAATTATATTTCATGTAATAATAAAATTTTGAATAGTTAATTTGATACACTTAAATTTTTGAAACTAATTTAATTAACTCTATGTTTCTCTAGTATAATTACCTAATCTTAAAAAAATTTAATTAGTGACATTTTGATAATACTAAAAAACTTTGAAATTCGATTTTTTTTTAAAATAAAAAAAAATACTTTTTAAGGGCGTCGATCTTGCTATGGTAACTAGAACGTGCGTGAAAGGCATCCGAATCTGAGCGGAGGATCTTGGATGCTTTGTATTTTCCGCCAATTAATTTTGGATCGCTATGAAGGCGACTCGAATAATCGGGCTCATTTGCGTTGGGACTTTGTTTGTTAGAATGCTTTAACGCGCTAAATTTTCCATCGATGACTCCTATATTTCCTATTTTGTCCGAATTCGAGGGGTCCATTTCGACTTTGATAATGCTTTGATTCATGATATTATCCGTTGCGATATGTTTGTCATCTTTATAATCGTTGTTGAGGAGGCTTTTCGTGGTATCATCATCACATTCTGCGTCTAAATTGCTATTATTATGGCGTGTGATTCGGGTTCTAACATTAACAAAAGAAGGATGTTTCTCGCCTGCGGGTTGAGTTTTAGCGGTAATTTTTGCGGTTAAATTTGGATTCTTACTTGAAAGAGCGTTAGATGAATTAAAGTCGTCATTAGATTTGTCATTAATGGGTTCGTGATTATTGATCATACCGGGACGAATTTTATCGACGAAGTCGGAATTCCTATTTAGGTTCCACCTGGAATTCGGGTGATAATTAATTGTCGCTCTGGGTGTAGCACCATTACATTTAAACGATGCACCGGAGGTTGGACCTAAGCTTTCCTTTTCAATGCTGAGGATTTTGTCTAAAACAGGCAGGCTTTCGAGGTTTTTTTCGGCACTGATAGGGGAGGAGCTGGTGACTTGAAACGAAGACTTTTAGAAGAACAAAAGGGGGAATTATATATAAAAGCTGAAGTTAATTAATAGAAGAAGACCCTATAAGAAGCCTATCTTTATAAAAAAAATCAAAGACCCTATAAGAAGCCTATCTTTATAAAAAAAATCATAAATATATATTTTGATGAGAACATTAAGTTTTAAATTTAATTAAAATATTGTGTCAAATGAGTAATATGATCGATGATTGCATTATTTCTTGTTTCTCAAATTTTATCAACTTTTTCTGGCCCTAAGGGGCTATGCCAAATAACAATTAAAACTTTTATAAATATTTTGTGACTAACCTGTAAAAAAAAATGTTAATAATTGAATTTTAAAAAAAAAACATTTTTCGAAAGATTTCCAAATAACACGCTAATAACGTTCAATTAATTAATTTAAATTAATTTACGCTCCGAGTTGAGAAAGGATAAATCGTGACACCGCTGGCAGTTACCCTATCAAGTCCCAAAGACACGCCACCGCCCAAGGAAATCTTTTTGAAAATGAGTGGTTCGTTATCTGCTAGGGTATTTGCTCGAACTAGCTGCGATACCCTAGAGTGTACTATTTTTCCTCGATCCCTTTTAGCTTCTCCATTGAGGTCTGGCGATATCTTGGGTTCAATTATTCGATCATCTAAGTTGCCACCGGTGCAGGAAATTTTATTGACCGAACGACACTGAACAACCATCTTATCCGTCATGGAATGTATGGTGGCAGTGAGTAGGGCGCTTTTAGTAGTTTGCGTAGCAGCGTCGCTTTTTTTGAGGCTTGCACCGTTGTAATTTTTTAGAAGGAAATTATTAGGGCAAGGCAATTGGGGCGAATCCCTGTTAGCATCTTTAATACACATAATATTATTCGCGTGATGGGACTTTGAATTATTTTGAGGAGAAAGACCGTTAAGATGCGAAAGAGCCGTTTCCGCTAATTCTGTATTTTGCTTCACTGCCTGTTTTTTTATTCAGAGAAAAGGAAAAAAATATTGTGCTTTATAACAATAAAGTATTTAAAATTCTAATCCACGAATTGAAACCAGTTTTCATTTTTTTAACGATTTCTGAGAGTGTTCCGATTACTATCTTCGCTTTTAAATAGATTATGGAATAAGTGAATTTGACAACTCCATTGTGAAAATAGAATGGTTAGAATTTAAAGAATAGGCAATTATTGGGTAAATTTATATTATTGTGACCCCTCCCGTTCAACTAATAAGAGAAATCAGTTGATTATTAAAAAAAATGCTGATCATAAAGTCAAAGCCTCCATTGATTAACTTTTTAACCCTAGCCCTAGACTCGTCCAAGAGGTTAGTTACAGATAAATATTGGTCCTACCGGGAATTGGAAATAATGGCTCAATAGCTACCCATTTATCGTTATTTTTTAATAAAGAATTAATAAACAAAGGGCAACAACTATTAAAAATAATAATTTAGTTCAAAGAAGAAATAATACTGAAATTCTTTCTCCAAAAAAATTTGAGTATGCAAATTCGTCTCATTTTGTAATCAATTATTTCCATCGAATTCTAATTTAAAACATAACATCGTTATTTTTAAATCGATATTTATAAATAACAATATGATTGTATTGTTATCACATGGGATGGGGGGGGGGCACTTCTATTCACATCTTAATTCGTATGGTTATAGATTATGAGATGATTGCATAATTCAATATACTGTTATAAATGTTTTAAAATTAATTATATCGGAATTTTTTTTATTAAGTATTTATTATGTATGTAAAAATTAAATATAATTGCATTTTATAGATTCGCATAACATTTATATATTCTTTTAAACAGCTGTAACGAATACGTTTAAATGTTGGGTTTGAAAAAAAAATAATCAAAAAGGAAAAAATTTTGAATTTTATAAAGCGATATTGATATATAATTTTTTTATTTTTAGATGAGTTTCTATTATTAAATATTATTTAAAGAATAATTGTAGTTTGTATAGTGAGACTTGTTATTGAATTTTTAGATTATCATTATGTACATACATTCTACATTTTATAACCAATAATATTTTGGGGCAATTAATTTTAATGGTTTATTGTTGTTATTGGAACATGCCGAAGTCGGTGAGCCGAATAAAAATATAATACGTTTGTTTTGTTTGCGTGGTATAATATTCGAAAATACAATTTGAGTTTAGTTTAGTACAAAGTAAAACTTTCACAAGGTGACCACTGAATTGGTAATATAAGTGGTCAATATATAAAGTAATTTCGATGAAGACGGGAGTAAGAAACGAGCTAAAGTGGTCAATAAAAGGTAAAGCCTTCAAACAAAAATGACAGAATCAACTTTAGAAGTTTGGCCGCTATTTACTTTTATATTTTGGAAAGATTAATCGTAAATCAAATTTCAACGTTATAAAAATTTTTTTTAGTGCTAAATAAAAAATTCAAATAAAAATTTTAAAAATGCTAATAAAAATTAACGTGTTGCAAATATTCTAGCGTCTAAATAATATTAAAAAAACAAGGAAAGGGAAAAATTTATTTTATTCAATTTTCCGATTGTTTTATTTAAGAAAAATATATATATAATTAATAATTAGGTATTTTAAAAAAAATAATAAAAGGTAATATGTATGTTCTTATTGATCACATTTTACTTCTGAAGAAAGGATTAAACGATAATATGTCATTCCTGAGGGGGAAAAATAAATGAAAAACAGAGGACGCCATTTTGGTTACGCTTAGCAGATATAAAAAAACTTAATGTTAGCGAAGTAAAATAACAATTATTTTAGGTCATTCTCACAAGAAAATAGGTATTTAGCAAACCAAATTCAAATAATTTAAAGTATTCTGGATCTTATATAGGTTACCAAAATGGCGTGCCACGTGGTCTCCAGCTGATCTGCATTCAACGACGCTTTAAAATGCAATATTATGAATTAATCGTTAGTCTAAGCATTATTATAGGTCATGACTAATAAATTAACCGATTCATTAATTTATATTGAAGTCTGGCATTGAAAGGCATTTATAAGAATTGCCTTTGAATCGTGTCTACAAACAGCCAATGTCATGGACCTCAGCTGTTTAGTGTAGGCCTAACGAATACGATAAATAAATTATTTTTTTTTAAATGGATTAAATAAACTATATAAATTTTTTTTACTTATTTATTCGATTTATTTAAACGAAGAGAATAGAAATAATTCATTATTCGTATTCAAAAAGGCTTACTTCAATGTAGGTTAAAAAAATTTCTTAAATGAATGGCCCCAGTCTACGTTGGGTTAGTATTAATAAATGTCACGAGTCATTGCTACTAATTTCATAGTTTAAAATCTTGTTTAAACGATAATATCGATGCATCTTTCTAATTATTTCGACTATCCAATTAAAGATGTCGAAAACTAAACGTAAAGATATTACAAATATAATAAATTAATAACGATCAAATAACCAATTTTATAAAACAGCAAATATTTAGCTTGATTTAGTGTTGTTAAACGGCGATTTGGGTAGATTTTTAAAAATGGTCCTATTAAGATTTTAGCCGAAATAATATTCTTTAAGCCTGGAGATTTTGATCATAGGTAGAAGAAATGTTTGGACCTCTATTTGCCAGAGACTTAATATATTACTTTGACTAAATCTTAATCGGGCCTACAAGTTTGATTTGTGTATAAGCAAAACAAATAATTAAGATGGCATTTAACGTTTGTTGTTTATTTTAGATAACTTTATCCAAAAAATCTCCAGTAAAAATTTTGGGTGAGTCAAGGCTCAAAAATTTAAGGTAAAAAAACCCTTACATTATCAACAACATTTTAAAATCAATTCGCGAATAAAAAAAATCTTACTGAATAAAAAGATAGCCTTCATAAATGTGACTTACTTTAAACAGATGGGCTGTTTGAATGCATTATATATATATAAATATATAGCTGACAAACACGGCTTGAAGTGAGTGATTTTAAAATGGGTCATTACTAAACCAAATTTCCCATTTATAAAATATTTTAAATCGAGGAAAGGATTTTTTTCTCTAAAAGGGGGAATAAATTAAAAATATCAATTTTTATCATAATTTTTTTTTAAAAAAAAAGAGATTTTTTAAACTTATTTTTTAACTCTCAAGCGCTGCATAAATTACAATTATTATTATAGATAACTTTTCTCTTTTCTTAAAAAAACGAAACACAAACAAACACTTGACTTTTATCATAATTTGATTAATTCCATTGGAGAAATAAAATAAAAATTTTAAAATTCTATCCAATCTTTTTTTTAACATAAAATTTGAAAATATAATTATATCATCAGTGAGTGTGACTTTGATTGTGATTAACAATAATAATAATTAAAGAAAGATTTACGCTTATTATTAAACCAAAATGGTTTTTAAATCCGATTAGATGGCTATTGTTTAAATTAAACATTTTAAATATAAAATCAATTTTTCAATATCGATTTATAATATTTATATTTTTTTGTTTAAATGTAAGGATAACTATAATTAAATCCATAAAATATATCCGATTTAACCCCGAATTTGAATCTTTTTAAAAAATAATGGCAAAATTGAGTTTTTAGCCGGAAATACTCATCCAATGAAGATCAAACCCACAATCCGAAAATTTTTTCAAGTGGTCGGCTACATTTAAATCGAGTATTTGCTAAAATCTAGCTGGTTTTCTCGGATTGTAGAGCGATTAGACGATTTAGTTAACACTACTCGACGCAACTAAAAAAAATTCAAAGGGGTGAGATTTGTTTCAATTTAACTCCAAAAATACCTGAAGTTTAGACAAAGGGATAATGTCGCAGTCATCGGGCCGGAGCCAGATCGTCTTTTGGGTCGAGGCGTTGTAATAATAGAATCTGGAAGTTTGAGGATCCCACAATTCCCACCATTGATTGTCATCGGCTTTTTTGCTGAGCCAAATTACGAATGAGATTTTTTTTTTAAAAAATGCACATTTAGAATTTCCATTTAAATATGCGCGATATTTGGCATTAGGCAGCAGATGCTTAATGCATATAAATATAAATATCATGTAGGAATGATAATTTAAATTTTTTAAAAAATAAGTTACAGAATAAAGTACCGATTCCTATTTTTCATGTAACCCATAATTGAATAAATGAATGAATGAATGAAGCCTTAAAATGCCTACATCTAATCTTTTTTTTTAAATTTCATTCCCTATAATACTAAATTTATCATTCTAAGGTTTATGTAGTAGGGATCAGCATCAAATCGCCATTAATCTCTGCATCGGGCAGCTTTTTCGGATCGGGCTTCAAAAATCCGTGTCCGATCCGAAAATAATTTTTAAATTATGGACTGGTGTTAAAAATACGTTGTTTTTTTGAAGCACTAGGGAAAAACAAATTAAAATTTTGCCGATCCCGATCTGAATAAAAAATTTAAAATAAAGGCAAAATTTTTGAAAACGTTTTCGGCCGGTCTCGCTATTATGTAATCTTTTTTTTCCATTTTTATGAAGAAATAGGAAATATATTTGCCTAATTCTAACCTTTAAAAAAAATCGGAACTTAAGGCCATCCTAAAAATCTTTTTACCCAGCCCTTGCCTGTAATAGGTATACTGCATCAATAAAAAAAACCTTTTAAATACGGCATTTAAAATAAATTAAATGTAAAACTCTTGTTTTTTAAAACACCGAAGTGTTAATGGAAAAAAAATTAACGTTTTCTTATCAATTTTAATATGATAAAAAAAATTTCTTTAAGTTTCAAAATTTCGCCGTAGTTGCATTTTTAAAATATTTTATCTTCCCTTTAAATTTAAAAAAAAACAGGTAAATAATTTTAAAATAAGTTTCAAAAGGTCGATAAATGGTTCGCCTAGTATGTATTAGAGATCAGTCCCGCCCTGACCTTTAAGATTTTTGAAACGGTTTTTTGGCCGTAAAAAAGGACCCGGTTCGATTATATGTTTTTTTTCATGAAGAAAAAGGGTATAAATTCGCAAAATTCAGGCTCGGCTCATAAAAAATATTTTGGGCCAGTTGTCTAGCGTAGCCCCAACATCTTTTCGCCCAGTACTGGCTCAGACCTCTTGTATGTATTAACTTCAAAAAATATTCATAACGTGATCATCATCTTTTTATACAAATAGTATATTCAAACCACCTGCAGTGACTTTAAAAAAGTGAGACTTCAGGTATTTAAGAATTCACAACGGGCAAAGAGAATGAGGGAACAAGCCGTGGGAAGGCGGGGGGGGGGTAATGAAGGTTAGGAAGGAATACTATGCTAAGATGACTAGGTTAAACATTTATATGACATGTTTTCATTTTCCACAATTTTTAAACAGAAAAAAACAAAATCAATTTTTGTATTATATTTTGAAGTGTGAGAGTGTGATTCGAAAACAGAAAACACAGATCAATAAATTTATGTAAGAAATAATTATATATGCAATAAAAATATAACATAATATGTAAGAATTTATTTGACAAATTGTAACGAGGGGAATGGATTTTATATAAAAATATAACGTGAATTTTGAATTTATAAATTTTTCGAAATAAAATACGCTAAAGAGAGAAAGAAAAGTAGTATTGTTAAAAGGCTCGATTTTTAACAAAAAATTATTGCGACCTAAATATTTTAGATGGCCGAAAGGTTTGGATGTATATATTAACAAAATCTCTAGGCTTGCGTAATATTATTTAGGTAACATCCTAATAAAATTGGCTAAATTGAGCCGTAATAACAATATAAAAGAAAATGAGTTTTTTATTCAATTTAGTTATTTGCAACTAAAATTAGGTGGCCTCAAATAACAAATTTTGATGATCACTTTATTTTTCCTAATTGATTAAAATTTATACCTCATTGGCAATTTAAAAAATTATGATGTAGTTTATTTGTGTATGCCTGTAACAAGATAAAAGAGCTTAAACTTGTAGAACAAGAGAATATATCCAAGAAAGTAAGAAATTTGCACGGTGGGAATAGTCATCCAATCTTTAAAAAACGAGGGTTCTAAGAAGTATGAATGTTTGGGGGGGGGGGTAAAAAAAAGGCAAGCCTTTTTTTAACTCAACAAATATTTATGATTTATGTAATTTACAATTTTATCGTAGAGTTATTGTTTTAGGGTTCTGTTAGGGAGAACCATATTTTCGAAAAGGTAGAAAGTTACTTAGTAAGTTGTGATGTGAAGATAAAATCAACTTTAATCCAGAGACATCTTGGTAATTGAGACTTGGATTACAGGATAACGAGCACTGTTGAAGGGAATTGAAAAATTTTTGTGGTATTAACATTTTTTGGACCTCCCAATAAGTAATCAAAGAAGTCTCTAATAGGCGCTTTACAAACTAGTCACCTTTAGCCGTAATTATCTAAAAAGTGTTCGATTTCATCACAGAGACATCATTAATTAAGCTCTGAGACAAAGCCATTCTCAATTACATACCTGCTATGCAGGCCCGTATCAAGCCAAATTTTTATATTAGGTTTGAGGTTGACCCGCCCAAAATTTTAAATTGAAAAATATAATTAAAAGGATTTTTATATAGGTAAGTAAGATGAAAATTTAATTGCTTTAACCTAATCGTAAAGAAAATTTTTTTTTTATATTAGACATATGTTGAGACCTAGCCCCTTTTTAAAAAATTGTTTTTAGGCTTGAGCCCGTCTTCAAACTTATTTTCAGGGAACCACTTGGTCTATCTAAAAGTTAATAAATATAAAACGCAATCTTCGCCAAATCGCAATCCCGAAAACGCAATTGCGGTAATTCACTTACGATAATGTTCTTGCGGTGATGAGTTCGCTCTAATGTTTTCGCGGTAATGGATTATAGGTTTGCTATTGCAGAAATTCATTCGTGGAAATATCCTTTGCAATAATCGTTATTCACAATAATAAAGTTTTCGCGGTAATGGATTATAGGTTTGCTTTCGCAGCAATGCATTCGTAAGAAATAATATTTTTGCAATAATGGTTATTCGCAATAATACATTCGCGATAATAAAGTTTTCGCGGTATTGACAGATAACCTTTAATATATTTCTAAAAAATCGAAAGAGTAACTCTGAAAATTAAAGCTTATTTTTAAGGTACTTCTCGAAGTGATAGGGTCAAAATTCATAAATCAATTAATTTTGCATTCAATTGTCATATTTATTCTTGAAGATTAAAATAGATCCGGTCTAATCGAATCTAACTTTAGTTCAAACATCGACCTGCCCGCTCCGGGCTCTCCTATGGCGAATATATTAGGTTTTTTGGTTAACTTTCTAATTTAAAATGGAATATTTACATCATGTTGTAATGAAATGAATAAATAATAATTAAAAGAACTAATCTCGATTTATATTAATAATATTTTACATATCGAGTACAAAATGTAAATGTTTGATCTCGTAAATATAAAATATAATTTTAAAAAAATAAAAAGTATAGATATGATTTGGTGGTGGTTTAAATAAAATAAATTACAATATTATAGTACACATGTAATAAAAAACATTAAAATATAATATTATCATAATAAAGTAGTTAACCTTGATTCAACCAACATTATGTATATTATATATTTAAATAAGGAGAAACTTTTAATAAAAGTATTTATATGATTTGATATGCTTTTTCCCCTTCCCCCTTTTATACTTTATTTATTTTATTCATGTTTCTTACTTGACATTCATTTAGTTATAATAATAAAACAACGAATTACTTTATATAATAAAATGAAATATAGACGGCAAAATTTAAAACAGTGTTTAAAAATACCTGTGAGCAACAAAAATGACACCAAATTGCCGTGCTAAATTTTTATAATTGATACCCGCTTTCTTAGAAAAATTAATCAAAATTATTTAAAATGCTAGATTTATATTAAGAAAAATGATTTTATATAAATTGAACCGGGAATGTAAGAATGTTCTACAAAAAATAAAATGATTTTATTTTCCTTCACTTCGGTCGCAATTAAACAATGAAGAATATAGAATACCATTGTTTTAATTAAATAATATGGCTTGTGCTAACCCATAACTGGTTGGATTTGTTTCATATCATGATCAGATTATGGCGCCTAATGTTAAAAAATAGCAGAGTCACGCAAAATAGCTTATTCAAAAATTTGGATAATTTCAAACGTTCAGACTATTGACATCAATACCATTAAAAAGTGTGCAAACATTGAAGTCAGCTGTAGCCGATGTTGTTATATTAATTGTAATAAACGCCATTAAAAAGGTATATCGTCTAAATATCTTTCAATGGCGGACTTCACTGTATGTGTATACACTTTTTAATGCATTTTAATTAAACCGTCAGACTATGTTAGTATTAATTTAATATCATTGGTTCGTACCTTAGATATCATCGTCTGGTTGCGGTTATTTATTTTGCAATAATTTTGAAAATTTTCCATATTTTAAAAATATATGAATACTATATAAATATATTTAATTTATAAACTTATAGCTAAATGGGATATTAATCAATTTAAAACCTCGTATCTAAAGACAAAACATTATGCCTCGAACGTTCTGGTATGGTCTTATTTTAAACGTGGAGTTGCCAATCGTTCGATTACACAAAAAAAAACATAAATGATAGGACAGCCTTAGTTATATTTATTTTTAGTGTATTATATAGAATCAGTCCATTAATTTTTTATGGTTATTTCGCAACCGATCATGGTTTAGCACCAATTATGTATAATATGCAATTTCTTACAGTTTGGCGCCATCGGGCAATTTCCAAAGGCATTGGCCGGTGGTCAGGTTAGCGTAAATGAAATTGTTGCTTTTGGGCTCTATTATTTCTACCCATTCAATCCTAGTAAAAAAATATATATGACTAACTAATTACAATTTTCGACTATAATATAAAAAAATTGTATTTTTAGAAACGCCACGCCTAAGGTATTGACGTAATCGATAGATAATTTTTTGGCTCTAATAGAATAAGGGGATAGCGTCAGGTTCCGCGGAAGTCGAAAACGTAAAAGCTAAAGTGAACAGAGAAAAAGCAAACTGTTATTTAATGTAAATGAAATCTTAGATAGAAAAAGAGTAGGATTAAGATAAGAGTTCGTAAACTAAAAAAGGATTCCGGTCCTTAATACTTATTGGTTCTGAGTTCCAGTTTATCTTTTTAAGAATAAGTCAGTTTAGCTTAGATTCAAACTTTCGAGAATTCTAGTGTATTAATAAATAATAAAATTCTTTTTAAAGTATTACAATATAAACTCCTTAATGAATTACACAGCATTTTGAACTGGTTTCCACTGGGAAGTTATTTTAAAAGATCTACTTAAGGTTTCTAGAGTTGCCCTGGTTCTAAGAGTGTACCGGATTCGGGTTTCACACTTGGGCATGAAAGTACCTATAATAGACGTGGTGTCGATTAAGCGATGAAAAATTTTATTTATTTATTATATGGTGCGAACGAGTTTGCGTTTTGTCGTAACAAACATAAATAATGCATTTCAAATGGTATCGTGCAAATTGATTATACCTGGCGTTTATATCCATTTAAAAAATGCGCGAACTGGTTTTGTTTTAATACTTTTTTTATTCTTCATTTTTCAATATTATATAAAGTATAAAAAAATAACTTAAATAGAATATTTAGAAATTATGGATAAAAAGCAGAAGATAATTATATTTACAAAATAGAATTTTTTTTAGAACTTAGTTAAAAATTATAAACCGATGATATTAATAAAAAGACAACCTCAACTTAAACAAGAGATGTGTCACATTTTTTTTAATAAAAAAAATATGGTAAAACGCAAACGCTCAATTTGTGGGCACTATAATAATATATCCTTATAAATTAATGGTCCACAAAATCAGATTTGTTTTTTGGCTGTGGGAGTCAAATAAAATTTGGAATAAAAACAAGGTATGAAATTTAGTTTAGTCGCAAAAGTTATTGATTTTTGTTATCCAGTAAATACTTAGCTTATAATGAATCGAATAATTGTTATTCTCATTCAATTTAAATTTTCGAATCTAATAATTGTGTTACGTATGAATCTAATGTTATATATCTTAAAATAGACTTTTAAGGATTTTACTAAACTAATTGTCATCAACTGCGTATCAAAATTTAGAGAACAAACAAAACTTGGTCATTAGAATTGTTTATAAAATTATTTGCCTTAAACTTTTCTATACTTTATTTTATAATTATTAAGCGTCTAAATTCTATTAAAAATAACAAAAATTTTTAAATTGCAAGCAAAGTTCAAATTTTATAAATTTTTCCCAAAAATATACAATATGATATTAGTATAAACTTTGAATAAAAAAATATATTCATGTTGATTTACTTCGACAGCAGTTAATTTTTTAAGCACAACCTTTCTGATTGTTTCTTTAATTCAATCTTCACAATCATATTTGTCGCTATTGAAAAAAACCGCTCACATGGATTTGAAACACCCTTGAAAACTGATTATATATTGTTTGCCATTTTAGATAAAACGAGAAAAACAATCCCCATGTAACCTACAGTTGCTTTTTATTTGATGTAATTCATAGTTATTTTTTCTTATCGTACTGATAGCACATATGCCAAAGGAATTAGAGATCTGTAAAAGAAGGCATCGGTCTAAACAAACAATCAACAGGTGCAGAGGATGGGAGAACTTTTATTTAGATTTTTATATTCAAAAAAACTTATCTTCACAAAGATCTTCATTCAGATTCTCATCAATTTTTTTTAATCTTTATCAGAATTTAATCTGAATTCATAAGTGTTCATATGATTTTTTTTAGATTTAATCTGCTAGGCATCGGTTGAAATATTTGAATTAATGCACAATCTACATATGCAAAAAAAATTGTTTCAAATTGAGACAGGGCAAAGTTAAATCAATATTCATCTAAGTAAATTGTGCTATTGTCATATATTCTTTATAAAATAAATTAAAATATTGAGAATATAAATATAACATATATTGATAGATTCTAAATTAGATTAACTACCTATAAAATTCAACAACAAAAATATAATAAAAAATTTAAATAAAGAATTTTGGTGGTTGATCTAAATTAAAACTTGGCTTAAATTATTTAAAATTTAAAGGATTTAATGAGTAACGTTTTGAATAACTGTCACTCAAAAAAAGAAGCATGTTACCTTTTGAAACAAGTAATGAATGGCATTTTGACAACAAATAGCATCCCTTTTCGTCAAAAAAAGGTAGCAATGTTACTTCGCAGCATTACAAAAATATAAAACTATATTGAAAAGAAAATTTTTTTATGTTTAAAGAAATTTGGCCAGGCAGATAAATAATTTATATTTGGTGAGAGCCTTTTTGGTGAAATAAAAAAACTGTTTTGGATTGGGTTAGACAATTTTTTTTAAAAAAAATTCTGGCTAGATTGGATTTAATAATTAGGCTCGATGCAGATCATTAAAAGGATGCAATTTTTCAATTAGTAAAACATAAAGGGGAATGAAAAGATTGATAGTGAGCTGAGATAAGTCACTAGATAACTTCAGTAAAATCAAATAAAGTTCTCAAATTGTCTTGAATATTTCTCAAATGTAATTCCCACAACATTGTTAGAAAATATAAAGAAATAAATAATGAATAGAAAATTAATTAAAATATATCAGGCAGTCTAATATAGTAAAATATTTAAGCAAAGTACCCAATATACTAGATGACTTGTTACGAATTATATCAAATAAAAGTTCATTGAAATGGTTGATTGCATGAGAATCGTTTTCTCATGTTTAAAATATAACCAGAATATTATTGATTCAAGGAAGGAAGAATAGAAAGCTTTAACTTTATTTGCACTATTATTTTTAGTAGTATTTATACATATCATTGTCACCGCAGTAAGACCTTGTAATACGCATTTTTGAAATTGTTTAGAAGAGACAAAAAACTATTTTGATTTGTATTATAATTATAAAATATAAACTTATTACTGAATTTTAACTTTTAATTATAATACTTCATTATAGAATGGTTTTTTTAAAATAAAGTATTCACATTGTGACCCACATGCCATTTACAAGTTTTTGTTTAAATAATGTGCTTTTTTGATCAGTTTTGGGGTTTTGATGACTTGTTTTTTTTGCTTTAAATATGTTATTTGATAAAAAAAAAAGCTAGTTTTTATTGATAGAGGCCTGATTTTTTGAGAAATTATAGCTGGCTTAGAGGTGAACTCATTTCCAAAAATGCTTACTGATGTGGTTTTGCAGTGGTGACAAAAATATACAATCCATCATCTTTATAAATGTTAAAACAGCCATTTAACTCTCATTTTCTGCAATTATATTAAAATTATTGTGGTGATAACCTATAAAATTCAGAAAATGTTTTTCCCTGTTTACAGAAGCTACTCAGACCTTTTAGCAAGTCTAAATTATATGAGCCAGCGATTTAGTAGAATCAATTAAGTTGTATTGATGAACTTTTAAAGAGAAAAAGTCTAGTATCTAGACTCAGGAACAATTATAAATCTAATTCCAAAGATAAACTTTAAATTATTTTATAAGTTATACAAAAACGTTTAAAACAAAGTAAAGAAGCTATTTTTAAATGTGAAGATATTATCAAAATTGTAGAAGTGAATATATGAAAATGTATGAACTTTAAGATTAAGCAATCTTGGGAAGAGTATTTCAAATATATTAATAATTATAAAACAAAAAGATATAGAGAATGAAAACATAACGTAGATTAAATATCCAAATGTTGTAGATTTATTTTAATAATAAAATTAACAATCAAAAAATTATCAATATGAGATGCAATTTATGAGATCTATATTTAAAATCTGCATACAAATTATTAATATATAATCATATAAATTATAATAGATACACCTTATAAAAATAATATATTTTTGAATAATCATTATAGGTTAATGTGATGCTACCATATGAATTAAATATTTTAAAAAATGCATTTTATTATAGGTAAAAAATTATTGCAAAAAATAAAATTTGAACATCATTTTTTTTATTTTAATTAATAACGAAATGAAATTAATTAGCTTTAGTTTACCTATCTTCCATTAAATCCTTTTAGAAATCATAATTTAATGATAGTGTGATAACAACGGCTAAAAATTTAGAAGGCTTTTCACCGAACTATTAACATGTGATGAAATATGATACATGTGATTTAAATGTCAGATAAACATAAACTAGTGCTGAATATTACAACGATTTTTATTTTTAAATTTTAACATAAATTAATTATTCATTACTAAATTTTGCTTATTTTGATCTTTCATCAACTCTCTAGCGCTCAATAGAACTCTCTTCTCTTTATTATAGAGAAAGAAGCCACACAAGAAGCCGTTGGTACCCTAATGATGATGGCTGCTGAGTAGCATTTATACAATTCTTAAAATGCATGATGATATTTTTTATACATAATATTTAGGATATTTTCAAAATTATGTGTTTCTTTAACAGCTAATAATCCTTTAGCTATTTTCATTTCATGATGTAAAGTTTCCATATTTAAGTTTAATAATTATTCTAATCGGGCCATTTTGTACGATATAAAATAATCACTATCAAAGGGGTACAATGCATTAAAACTTGATAGAAGATTATAATCATCTTTTGTAAATCTATCTAAAAAATTATCAACAATCAATAATTTCATAATATTAAAGAACTCCAATTGGAGTCTTTTTCGCAATTAAATTATAATTTAGTTTCGATTAAAAAGTCTTGGAAATTTATAGGCGTTTTAAGTACACTTGATGATTTGTGGGGAGTGAGATTAAAGTTTGCTAAACGTTTTTCAGCCTTTATTCTAATCAAATCAATAGAATTATTGCTTTTATATTTTTTAAATATATTGATCGTGAAATCAATAGAATTTTTAGCATCTACTTGATAAGTACCTACTGACTGTAGATACTTATATAGTATCTATTCAGGGGCGTCGCTAGCCTTTACAATCTCAGGGGGTTCAACTAAAAAAAAATTTATGGGAAGCAATATATTAAACTTTTTTTTAAAAAAAAATTCCCCCCCCCCCGTGGCTACGGCCCTGCATAGATGGCACTTAGGATTGAACATCTCTTGGCTCGACGCTTATGCAATATTTTCCTGGCTATAATGTTGAGTTAGCCGTAATGTTTTAATTCTTGGTGAGTTTATAGTTTGAGGTTAATGATGCTTACTACCAAGTGAATGTATGGAAATATTCTAAATACCAACCTAATTTGCTAAATACCGACCAAAATTTATTAAAATGTAATAAGATCATTTGATATATTATAATGGAATCACGTGGTCGAGTCCGGCCTCCTATATATTATCCCCCCAAGGATGGAACCACCAAGTTAGAATAAGAAAAAAAACATGATCATTCCAGGGATTCGAACCCGGAAGCATGGGATAAGTAAACCAAGCTCTTGCCTACTAGGCCATAAAGGCTTTCCAAAAATCACGATTTTTCAAATATATATTATAAATATATTTGGTAGTGCCTATCCAAATGAAAAATGAACAAAATTCAAATTTGATAGATGGTACCTTAAGGTACCAAGCATCATTAACCATAGTTTGACTAGAAGAATAAAGAATTGAATGTTAAATTTTTAAAAAATATTTTTTTCTTAATTTTAAACAAGCGGGAGGGGAAAAGAGGTCTATCCTCACTTGAATTAGAGCTGGTTATTGGAAATAATTTTTTTACAAATTTTTCACACAATAGCTACAAGACTTTTTTTTAAATATTAAAAACTTTTAGTTTTTAAATTTTTGGTTTTAGTAAACCAAAAAATCCATATCCAATTAATTAATGGGAAGATTGATAAATTCTTGATAGATCAATATATAAAATTCGGGGCTATCCTTTTAGATATTTATAAATCAAGGATTTTGAATCTTGTGATCTGGTCGTTATAACAATAACGAAATGAAAATAATAATAAATTCATCTAATATTTGTGAATAAGGGCTTGAGTTCCACATTTTCCTGCCCCTCACTAATATTTTATTAGGTTTATCAATCTCCATAAGTATTTGATAATGCGATAAGATTTTAAAATTATTATTACATTTCGTTTTTTTAAATGGGAAAAATTATCAATTAATGATTTATATAGTAATATATTTTTGGATCATAAATAATAAATAATTATTTTAGGTTATCCTTTCCATTTCCTGGATAATAATTTTAAAAATTACATCCAAACGATTTTTATTTCATAAATCTCACAGGAAGGTGATCTAAATATTAATATGTTATTTTACAAATTAAAGTTTTTATTATGTAATCCAGATTTTATAATTCTCATTGTTAAATCGCTTTGTTAAAAGAGTTCAAAATCGATTTATGAATCAGATATTTATTACACATTCTAATGTCTTTTCAAACCCAGATAAATCAAAAATATTTGTAAACATTGTTTAAGTTGGCCTTTCATGAAAGAATGATCAATATTATTCATTTAATTATATATTACTTTTTTTTCAATCCAATTCTATAATGATCAGTAAATAATTCATAATAAAATTTTTGTCATAATACTTTGTTAAATTTAAATATAGATATGGCATAAATAAAAATAGTGTTCTTTATTTGTTATTTTATCTAATAAATAAAACCACTATAGTAAAAGTATGCTCATTTCCCATTTTCATCTTTAATAAAGAAAAATATACAATATACATTCAATATCACAGATTTCCCTAAAAATAGATCTCTTTTAAGCAATGAATAAAATAAAAAAATTTTATATTTTGATTACTTTAAAAAAAATTTTTATTTTAATAATACACTAATATAATTATAATATATATTGTTTATGTAACTCTAGATCATTCTAAAATGAAGGGTATTAATATAACTGGGAGACCTCAATAGGTCCAGTTCTAAAAGAGGCTAGCTCACATAAATTCAATACAAATTATTTAATAAATTGCAAGATTGCAAAAAACATTTACATTATAATTTTGGAATATAAACAAATTTCCGTAAGTTGGTATTATAGTAATAAAAATACTAAATAGTCACAGCTACTACATATTGCTTAAGTGGAAATACTCTTAAATGTGAAAAAAAAATCGCCATTTTGTTAAAATATACAATACCATTATGCTAAAATATTGACAACAGAAGACATTAATCTTTTATAGGAAAAGGCTATAATTATTGAAAAATTGGTAATATTGGCGAAAGATCCCTTAACAAATTTTATTGCCATATTTCTACAATTTATAGAGTAGAATCAAAGAGGCATATTATCACAATTCCTTACAAATAAACCATCAGCAACTATGAAAATTAGCAATTGTGGCTTCTTCTCAGAAATAATAGCAGCATTATTATTTTGGCTTGCACAGATAGGAGCACAAAATGCAGCCAGAATCAACGTCTACATTACAGAAATTTTCACTGGATGCAAACCCCCCTTCAAAAACCTATACCTACCCCCCCCCCCTAAAAAATTAACGCCCCTTCTAAAACCTATACCTACCCCCCTAAAAAATTCACACCGTCTACGGCGGCGATGTTTCACTATTTTTAATTTCATTTTTTTAATTATAATTATAATCTTTCAGAAAATTTAAAAAGAATAATTAAAATTATTTTATCTCTACTACCAACTATCGACATTTTATGAATATAAAGAAGTCATTTTTTAGATAATTAATTCAATTAAAACCCGCATCTTTTACATTGAATTCATTATTATAGCATTATGAGCTTGCTGAAAATGTCTAACACTTTTAAATTACATTTGAAAGGATAGCAGATATTGGGAAAATAATGTCTATGATTGTTTGCAATATATATATTTCGTTGATGAATTGTATTATAATAGGTCTATAATAAAAGTATTAATTTTAACAGCAATAAATTTTGTCCTATTTGATCTCAAAATTTAATAGAGAGCTCCACAAATTATTTATCCTACCCCCATTAAAACCGCCTACCCCTTCAAAACAAAAAGGAAACAAACTGTTCCTACCCCTCCTCCCCCCCGTTCATGTAGACGCTGGCCAGAATAGTCTTTTCATGCAAGAAAAAGATATAATTTACATAAAAATATCTGATGAAGTTTTTATAATTACAATTTTTAAAATTCTAGGTGGCTGCAGAGATTTAGGAAGGGGCAAAATATTAATTTCACACAATTTACATAAATAGGAAGTGCAGATCTTGGAATTATTTTTTTATGAATAATAGAACTTATACTATTTTCTAGAAGGATATGATATTGCAGAAAGTGATTAAGTAAATGATGTTATATAGGATATTTCTCCAGAATGCATATGTTAACTTGATGGCTGAATAATCATTAAAAAGGCTAGAAGTCATTGTATGAAAACAATTATTTAGGCCAAATGCAATCTAAATATTAATTATAAAATATTTCTAATTAATTGAATAATTTATCTGTCCATATATTTAATATAATAAAGCAAATTCAAATACCATGTATGTTATTTCAATTTTGCAATTCATAAATAAAATATTAAAAAGTTTTAAATAAGAAACTAAAATTAATCATTAAGATTTTTATATTAAGAACATTTTTCAGTGAGTAAATTTGTGTTATCTACTGTTGTATTTTCAAATTTCTCTTAAGATATATTAACTTCGAAAGAGCTATCTTGATTGTTATTGAAAAATAAAATTTAAAAAAAAACATCAATTATTGATTATTGTATAAATTGATGTTTAATTTATGTTATAGAATGAAAATAAGAAAAAGAATTATATTAAAAATTTTATCATAAAATATCGCTATCAGAGGGGATGCTTTTAAATTCAAATAAAATATAGCATAATTTAAATTAAATAAAATTTTTATAATTATATCTGAATCAATTTATAAAATCTACTTATTCATCATTGATTGATTCTGATTCATTTAATAGGGTATATATACAATTTTATTGTTATTTAGCATAGAATTTAGATTTATTTATATATCATTAATGGCAAAACAAAATTGTCATATATATAATAAATAATTACAATTTATCTTTATAATTGCAAAAAATCGGATAAGTGCAAAACATTTTTTTTAATTCCGGGTTTAAACTTTATAAAATAAATTGTTAAGACGAAAACAATAAAGCTAAATATTTGTTGGTCAAATATAAGTGAAAATA